TTACTTTGAGAGGGCAGACATAAAATATTATCGGAGACGTACACGAAATAATGTAAATGGACCCCCCCCCCTTAAAGAATTCCTAACCACCGAAGTGCAAAACCACGTATCTCTATTCTTTGGTGCCAAGGAAGAACACCGTATGAGCATTCGAGGGTTGTTACATTTCCCTCGAAAAAAGTTTTATTTTTGAGGAAAGTTATGATTATTTTCCCTCGAGATTTTCGGGAACTTTAGGTGGAATTTCGTGCAAAATTATCTACAAAATCGACAGTAAAATATTCATAAATTTACCAGGAAATTCGTTGGAGACGAGATATGTATCTCCTATGTACTCCCTTATATGCTCAAAGGATATACTGTCGCCCCTCTGACGTAAGGGCGTACCTCTATTTCCACATGAGTCCCAGAAAGCATGAAGATATACGGAGAACAGGGCTTACGTGGATATCCAGATACGCCCTTATGTCAGAGGAGCGACGATAACTCGGCTCGTGGGCCACACACATGCGAATAGCCGTTACTGAAAGGAAAGACAAATCGCCTGCATATTTTTGCGTATGCAACCGCAACAAACGTTAGGTACGAATAGTTGCGCAGTGTCCAGGCGTTGCCGTTAGCCTTCCGTGGTGTTGCTTAGCATCTTACTTGCGCGTCCGTCAGCCGTGTGAAAGATCTAATCATATTTCATTTTTCCCTATAGAAACACTGTGAAACTTTACTTCTCTTGATTTTTTTCTTCAATTACAATTGAACCCCCCATCGGCAGTTCCGCAAAATTACTGTTTTTCCGACAGGTACTCATCATTGCTGAGAGAAATAAAATAATCTCACTTCGAATGAAACAAACTACTCATTAGCATGCCAGTTCATTAAATCTACGGTAAAAAATATAGGACCCGAATTTTGATCAAACCAAGCATGTTTTCACTTTATTTTATCTGAAGAGAGAACAAGGGAAGTAATTTAAATTAAGAGCCGTATGGTAATCCCGGTTTCAGGACATTGTGTCGACGATTTTTTGTCCGCGCACCTTTTTTGTCCAATAGTTTACGCCCACGTGTAAAATAAGCAACAGAGGGCTTGGTCCAAGCGTTATATTTTAGTTGGTATGTAAAATTATATTGACAATATGGAAATGAGAAATTGAGAGAGAAGGAGGTGTTGTTATGGTTGCTCATTTTCTAAATGAAATGTTATTACTTTCTCCTTTTGAATCGTGTTTTTAAATTGTCATTGGTGAATATTTGGTTTTATTTCTATCCTTAAAATATTCGATGTACAATATACCTTATATATGTATAGGTACTTTTTTTATTTTTTTAATTTTTTCTTTACGAAATTATTACTTCATTTTGAAAACATTTATATTTTTAAAACGTAACAAATATTTGTAAAACCTTTTCCAAGCGACATTAATCTCAATGAGCCGCAGTTGTGCCGCGCCGACAGAAACTGCAAAAATGAATAAAAGAGGGGAAAAAACCAAGAGGCTTGCAACCCATTTGTACATCGATCTTTTAGTCAAATACGTCAAATTTTGAGCGTTTGGTTGCGCGTACACCTCGCTGCAGCACAATATAATCACAAAATGTAAAAGAATAAATTAAAGTGCTTTGGAAATCATTAAATTTGACACTGAACCACCAATATTTAAAAAACACACATTATATTATTATTCTCCTTTGATAAATTGATACATATTTTTTCCCATCAATTTAAATGAGAAAAATCAATGCAGAGTGTGCAAAAATTTCAAAATCATGAGTTAAAAAACGCTGACTATGCGAGTATAAATATTAAAGCCTAACAAAGCGGAGCGGCGCGGCTTGCTGCCAGCGCGAGAGGCTTACTGGCGCCTACAAACCTAAGTGTGACCCCCCTTCACGCATTGCACAATGCTTGAAGTATCCACTTAGGTTTGTAGGCGCCAATGCGCGGCTCGTGCTGGCCGCCCGTCCGCCGTGCGGCGGCGCCTGAAGCAACTATTTCACAACAGAGGTGTTACACAGTATTATACGAAATTGAACGTGTTAAGAATGACATGCATCCGTTAAAAGTACAGATCTTTCCTCGCAAAGTAAATCAAGATACTTTTCGTACACAGGAAAAATCGAAGAGCCTTTAGCTGAGGCAAAAATAGAGTTTCAACCGTTTCAGGTATAACAAGGTGGGAATTTCTTGAAAGATAATTCAGTCCTGTTACACCAAAGAGGTGTAGAGAGTTTTAGTAAATTTTGTCTCATGGAATTGACGCTCCCCCATTTTTACCCTCGTATTAAATGGACCAAAACTCCAGTGCCAAAAAAACGCGTGGACGTAAATTACTGGAAAAAAACAGGTGCGCGAACAAAAAATCGTTGACGAAATGTCCTATACCCGCAATCCCTATAGTTTTATGGCGATGAAGCCAGTCGTCTCTAATTGGCTGACGGTTCCCACCAATTCCCGTGTTTGGCTAATTCCAAAATGTTGAGCTCTTATACGGAGAATAGCACAAGGGGGGGGGGGTTCGCGGTGAAATGAAAACAAGGACGATAGAATGAAAGTCAATTGGAAACTTTAAATTCGATCCTTGGAAAATTTTCAAGAAGCTCGATGAGTCATAAGGCTCATTTTTTTCAATCATCAATCAGAATTTCATTTTTGAAAAACCTCAAAGGTAAGGAACAGTGGTGCGATGCACTCTTAAGTCGTCAAATATTTGCTATTTTGTACAATTCAACGTAAAATTGTGCTCAATAACGATTTTTTGTTGTTGAGTGCGCGTCGAAAAATATAACAGCTCGATTCTGTGGAGTTGCCTATAAAATGCACCCAATTACAATTACAACTGAGTAACGATGAGGAAGGCAAGCGAGATCAAATGTCAGTGTGTCTTACCGAGAGGGAAGAAGGTATAAAAGGTTATTTCAAAAACTGTCAAGCTAATAAAGAACGCCGTATCAGTACTCAAGAGTTGCCAAATTTCTATGGATGAAACGTTTATTTTTGAGGAAAGTTATTCATACTTTTCCATGAAGATTTCTGATAATTTATATTCAATTGTGAACAAAATTCTCTGGAAAATTGGAGGAAAAGTATTCAGAATAATTTCAGTAATTTTTTTTTTATAGATGTTCATATGGCAACGCTTAAATGCTCATGCGGCGTTTCTTCTTAGCACGCAGAATATTGCCGCACTGAACTGCTGACGCGCGATTTAAGACAGGACTCGATGTCGCCGCAAGTTAACGGCAACGCCTGACTACCTTGCAACTATTCGTGATCTACGTTTGTCCTGATTGCATATGCAATAATTTGAAGGCGAACTGTCTTTCCTTAGAATGGCGATGGCTCTCAATCTCATGTGTGTGACCTCTGTGCCGAATTTTATTACCGGCGAAACGGTACTCCGTAATTCCATTTCCTGAAAAGCATTTTCAATCCTTTGCGTGAACATGTTTTAATTTTACCTTCTTGTTTCTCCCATAGATTTGGACTCGTCGGGTGTTGGGAGCTCGATTTTGAAGTCTGGAACAATTTTAACCTAGAATGATCAAAATTCATAAATATATATTTTCTACTGACGTTTTGAACTCGTAGATTTAAAAATACTAAAGCCATTTTTCAATATAGATTTCTTAGAATTTTACCATCTTGTTTTTCAGGTTTGACTTTGTTTCATCAGAAATTCAACGAAGACTTTCGCTTTTTGGGGATAGTCCAATTCCTTGATGTCTCTTTCTTACTCATGACAAGAAACTCATAATTTCATTCGAGGATACTACTACTCATATAGTTTATAGAGCCCTCGAAAAGAAGAGATACCTAAGCGCCAAAAAAATCCTGATGGCGTTGATACCACTGCATTGAGTTAGTTGAGCATTTCTACACGAAAACGCCACAACCAGTCAGACTAGACTAATATTGTGGTGGTTACAAGCTTGCAGTTAAAACATTTAAGTTAAAGGAAAACCATTTGAAGTAATTGTCTGCCTTATCTATGTATTCAAAGTCAAAATCAGTGTTGCTTGGGGATGAAATATAATTCAATTGTCATTAGCCTCCTCATAGACGATAAAGATAATAAGAGACACGTATATTGGTACAATGGGCCTGTTGCATGCAAGAGATACAGCCGCGCGAACAGACTTTATAGAGGTTAAATGACACGAAAATTACGATGGTCACATTAAAAAAGTCTGAAATATACTCCTTACTGCGTAATTTGCGTTGTCAGGAACGCGCTTTTTCAAATTTCCCGCGTCTGGGGGCAGTTTTCTAATCACCGGAAACGAGCAAACGGCGGGCTCGGTGATTTCCGGAAGATGTTGAATCGTTGTTGTTGTTGTTATTTTTTCCTTCAGTTTGTTTACAAACCCAACGTGATCTCTTATAGCGGTCCATATACACTTTATGCAGTAACCAAATCGATCAACTTTTAAATATCCAACGCAATCCTTCTACATTTCATTTCACGATATCACGAGCTCCGATTTTTAGGTTATGTTGTCAGTTTTAGTTGATCGGAAATAAGTAGCCGCGAGTTGCCGTTAATTGTTTCCGTTAGAAAACTGCCCCCAGACGCGGGAAATTTGAAAAAGCGCGTACCTGACAACGCAAATTGCGCAATAAGGAGTGTATTTCAGACTTTTTTAATGTGAGCATCGTAATTTTCGTGTCATTTAACCACTACAAAGTCTATTCGCACGGCTGTATCTCTTGCATGCAACAGGCCCATTGTGTCATAAATTCAAATTTACGAAAGCCTTAGGATTTATTTCAAATTAAAATGAGAAGGTATTTCACATCATAAAAAATATACTTTTAGATGTTACATCACACGAAATGACATGTATTTGAATAGTTTAATTTTTCAGCTTAACCTGAAATAAATGACAAACCATAATAAAGGAAACATTCGTTGCGAGTTTTAGAATCATTTCATTTGTGGCACACATGCTTCTTAAATGCCTTAAATATTTACAGCCATTTATAGGTTCTTAGTAGCTCTTCCTACGGTGATTAATGAAAAATAAAGATAGAAAAATCTTCGCATTTTACTTTATTTTAAAAATATTCATCTAAATTGTACAAATTTTACAAATGCTTTAAATTCAAATTTACATGAATCATATATTTTCTGAACCGTTCAAATAAATAAGTTATAATAAATAATTCTAAGAACTAAAACATATTTTCATGTTTCTCGTGACGATAATTAAATGCTTGCTAGCTCTGTGTAAAGAGATGTACAGGGTGCGGCAAAAGTCCCGGGACGGCTGTTTATTTTTTAAACGGCTAAACGTAGAAAAACGAATTTTGGGGGATGTTCTTGGGTCAAAGTAAGCTACTTTTTGGCACTCCCCAAAATTTGTTTGGGGGCCCCCCTAGGGGAGGGCGGGGGGCAACTTTTTTTTTCAAATAGCAACCCCCCCTTTGTGATACCTCATTCGAAAGATAATGAAAAAAGAAAATTATTGGCGCAAACCGCAGGTCAAAATGTCCATTTTTGACAAAATGGCGGCCGGTCGAAGTTCAAAATGGCGGAAATTTGGCATCTCCGTTGTTTATTGACGGATTGGTGTGAAACTCGGAATCCTAGGGTTTTTCGAGATGAGAAAAACGATTCTGGTATTGGTTTTCCAGAAAAGTCAGTCCTTTTCAAAATGGCGGCGGTCAAAATGGCGGCCTCGAGCGGGAAGTGGATATTTAGGCTGCATATCGTTGGATTTGCATGAAACTTGGTATCTGGGGGTATTTCGGCACGAGGAGAACGAATCTTTCATCGGATATCTGAAATTTTGACCAATTCCAAAATGGCGGCGGAAAAATTGCGGGAAATCAGTGTTACGGCTCTTTACCGATGGATTTGCATGAAATTCGATATGCTGGCGGTTTTTGGCTCGTCAAAGGAATCTTTCATTAGATTCTTGAAATATCAAATAATTTCATGCAAATCCATCGGTAAAGAGCCGTAAAACTGATTTCCCGCAATTTTTCCGCCGCCATTTTGGAATTGGTCAAAATTTCAGATATCCGATGAAAGATTCGTTCTCCTCGTGCCGAAATACCCCCAGATACGAAGTTTCATGCAAATCCAACGATATGCAGCCTAAATATCCACTTCCCGCTCGAGGCCGCCATTTTGACCGCCGCCATTTTGAAAAGGACTGACTTTTCTGGAAAACCAATACCAGAATCGTTTTTCTCATCTCGAAAAACCCTAGGATTCCGAGTTTCACACCAATCCGTCAATAAACAACGGAGATGCCAAATTTCCGCCATTTTGAACTTCGACCGGCCGCCATTTTGTCAAAAATGAACATTTTGACCTGCGGTTTGCGCCAATAATTTTCTTTTTTCATTATCTTTCGAATGAGGTATCACAAAGGGGGGGTTGCTATTTGAAAAAAAAAGTTGCCCCCCGCCCTCCCCTAGGGGGGCCCCCAAACAAATTTTGGGGAGTGCCAAAAAGTAGCTTACTTTGACCCAAGAACATCCCCCAAAATTCGTTTTTCTACGTTTAGCCGTTTAAAAAATAAACAGCCGTCCCGGGACTTTTGCCGCACCCTGTATGTACTATTTAATTCTTCGTGAATTTCATATCAGAGATTGTCTGGTAGTTTTTTCTCTTTTCATGAAATAGAATTTGGCGCAGCATTTAAAGGAGGGCCACAAGAAAACTAAGTGGTTAACTTCTTCGCGTTAAATTCAACTTTGGTGATGTCGATCATAGTGCCCGGGGTAGAAAATACTATTGAACTTTGGTTAAAATATGAATGAATCGTACAACTGGTCTCGTTTGAGCCCAGAAAAATTTGATTAAATTGCAATGACGTTGCAGATGAATGTTATTAAGATAATAATTCAGATAATAATATTTCAAGGCCAATAAATGCACCTCATTTTGCACCTTTGAAATTAATTGGTTTCTTATAAGAATTCTAAAACAAAAGGCTTTACATATCGCCAAGAAAAACTAAAAAAAGCGGTGACTTAATTTCTAGATAAAGTGTTTGAGTCCGACCGTTGTCTAGATAAGTCACCAATAGATCACAGATGGGCCCGTAATTCACGAGGCGCCTTGTTAACTGCAGCACAGTGAACAAACTGACTCGCTTAGGGTAAGGTTTGTAAAGGCAAGGAGACTTGAAAAGGAGTACAGCGGCAGATAATAGGTCTAAGAAAACACCCAGAGAGAAAGGCCAAATTAAGTTTTCCACCTACACATGTATGTTGCCTTCCTCTCATGTAGGTTTCATACATGGCGAAATGTCGCGCTAGTCCTGCAGCAATATACAAATTCAACAAAATTCTCGGTTTTTGGGCGCTCGTATTGAAATTTTAAAATAAAAAAAAAAGACAATTGCACATTCTGAAAGGAGACAAAGATGACTTCCGGCTAGATTTAACTGCTTGCAATTGGCTCTTCTTACATGAAGGTCTGTATAAAACGAATAGAAAGTGGGATGAAAAGAAACAGAAAATGTGAAAGAGCTCTTAAGAAGTATGTTCGCTTTCCTGCGTATTTCATAATTTTCCCACGCTTCTTCCGAGATGTCTTACATAGGTAAGACATAGGTATAGGTAAGACCTAAACGTCTTTGCTAAGGACAAACGCTGTATGAACTATCAGATGTTACCAAATTTCCATGCACAGATCACGAAAATATGTGAAAATTTTCTCCCGATTTTTCAGAGAATTTTGTTTGTAATTGTATATAATTTTACTAATTACAGAAAGAGTACTTGGACTATCTATTTTAATTAGCATGATCCGAACCCACGGTAATGATTTTATAAAATCTTCAAGAGTGTTAAAATTATAAAATTTTTGGTACCTATGATCTGAACCTACGGTCATGATTTTATAAAATCTTCAAGAGTGTTAAAATTAAAAAAAAATTTTGTACCTATTATAATAAGTAAACCAATAAAAAGTACCAGGAAAAATATTCATAGCTTTTCTCAGAAGTAAATATTTTCGCAGAGGAAATTTGGAAAAATTAGATTATCCATACGGCGTTTGTCCTTTCCATAGCAGTGTAATGAGACTCGATCACATGCAACAATAAAACCACTCCTGCGTCTCTATCAACCCGTCAGTTATTCGCAGCCGCAATACTCCTATTTTAATCTCTCAGAGAGCGATCGCCCTTATTGAGATTTAAGGTTAGGTTTGATGTAGTTGGCGTTCTCCTCGAAGGGAACCTCTACCGGGTGAGTGCCATCCCCGTGCTTCATGGCCGTCTGTTTGATGAGTCCAGGCGATGCAGTCTTCATGTCGTAGGCCCAGCCGATCTTGGCGAAGAAGTCCAGCCACATGGTCGTGATGTTCACCTTGTAGTTGCCCAGCTCAGCTGCCTTGTAGTCCCACGGGAACGTGTGGTGGTAGTTATGCCAGCCTTCGCCCATGGCCACGATCGACACGCCGAGATTCTCGCGGGGGTTGATTCGCCTGCGGAAAATGAGATAGGCAATTTTTAGTGACGTTATGCTCTAGACGAATTCGGTGAACTTGTTTTCATTAGCCGAGTTGCTTAATTTCTTACCGAATGTTAGTTTTTACACAGAGAACCAAGTAACATTCTGAGATTTTGTGTGCAAATTCTTTAAAATCTAGAAAAATCCGTAAAAAAATTTCAAGACGACTTGTAGTTCAGTTTTCGGTTTAAAAAGTAAAAATTTGCACATGAGCACTTCGCCTTCAATTTGAAGGGTAGGCCAGAAATAGTCCTACATGCTGCATTGGTCATCCCCAAGGGTTCTAATGCCCACAAACCTTGCTACGCAAACTATTATAAATTGAGTTGAAGTCTAGATAACGATTAGATGGTATATAAATTAATGTTCAATTTAATTTTCAATTCTGCGGAACAACGATTCCGTGGACTGCATACATAAACCGCCATTGGCTGTTGTTAGGAAATGTGAATCTCCTTTTGTAATTAGTTATTTTCATCGCCTTTTCTCCCCCCAACTTATCTCCCTCCTCTTCCCTTGTTTCCATGCTAGCGTTAGGACCTGTTGCTTCCGCAAATTCATTTTTGTCATTATCGGGTATTTCCGACTTATGACGTCATCGGGACTCCAATCAATTTAAGTTCTAACGAATCTTCGCCATTGAATTTAGTATCGACGGTGAAACTATCAGACCATGAATCTCGTTTGCATTTTATTTTTTTAAGAAGAACAAATCAATATAATTTCTTAAAATTTTCACAGATTATCGAAGCACAGAGAAGAAAAAACACGGAAGTTTTCAATACTTGACGTTGAGTAGTTTTCCTTTTAAAAATAAAGTATGACAGGAAGTCTGCAACGTTGCAAACCGAGATACGTGGTCTGGTAGTTTCACCATTGACATCCACTAAATCTCATTTTTTAAAGATAACATTTCCATTTAAAATGTATATCGACGGCGTAAGTCCGCAATCACATATCCCGTTTGGAGCGTCTGAAAATCTCCGCCTCCGTGTTATTTTTTTAAAAGAGAACAAATCGACATCATTCCTTGAAGTTTTTGTAGAATTTTCTTCGCACACAGAGAGGACGGCAGTCTAAAAGAATTGCCGTTGAGTAGTTTTCCGTTTAAAAAATAAAGTATGACAGGAAGTCTGCGGCTTCGCAAACCGAGTTATGTGATTGCCGATTGACACCGTCGATATTTCTCAGTAGACCAGCTTGCTACATTTAAAACGAGATACTCACGCGTCAAAGGGCTTATATCCCCAAATATGCGCTGCACTGTTGACGAACCAGGTGAAGTTGAGGTTCAGGACATAGCGGACGAAGATGTTGGCACCGGCGGCGAGCCAGAGGGGCTCTCCCCATGCAAGCCACGGCACGACGGAGGGGATGATGAAGCAGAAGACGATCTTGAAGAGGGTGAAGTGCCGGTGGTGGAAGGAGATCCACGGGTCGGAGGTGATGTCGCTCATGTCGATCTTGCGCCCCTTCTCGAGGACCTCGGGCCGCTTCCGCTGCATGAGCCACCCGACGTGGGCGAAGAAGAACCCGCGATTCGAGTCGTGCGGGTCGGCCGCTGTTTCACTGAACTTGTGGTGGATCCGGTGGTCTCGCACCCAGTCGAATATCGTGTTCTGCAATGCGTGACAAGATATATAAATTACACACGTACGAAGAATATTTCCAAAATTAATATTATTTCTAAGAATATTTTACATATTTAATTATTTTATATTTTTTATTCCAAGAATATTTCTAAAAGCAATATTTAGGGCATACAGAAGGCGCAGGAGACGCTGAATTATAAAATTAAGGGGAGTGCATTAGCAGGGTTGCCGTGTTTTCAGTTTTAGAGTCCCCAAATAAAGAGGCAGCACTGTCACTGCCTTGTCAATGTATTTGCTCCCTGCCTTTGCATGGAGAGTTTGTCTAGATGTAGAGGTGGACTCCCAGGTTAGCGTGGAATATCCCTTCCATTACGCCCTCAACTTTGAGAGCTTTTTTTGAGCTTGGGAGTTGATTTCAGGGAAAACCAGTGGCACTATCGTTATTTTTTTTTTTTGACTTTCACATAAGAATCAAAAGTCAAATCGCAAATTCCTCACAACATCTCCATTAGGATTTATTTTACCGTGAGTCGTCACGGTATAAAACGGAAATGTAATGTTATACCAGAAAAATAGATTTAGAGCAGGACTCTGAAATTGAGATACATGTTGTCGTAGCCTAACCGTCGAAATGGATTTCCATACGATTTCATGAATATCCATGCTCTTGTGAGATTGTTGAGCACAGTGGGCAAGGAACACCTCTAACAGGGACTGATCACCCATTACAAAGGTTAACGCTTCCTGCGTCACCCATTACGTATGCAGCGGTGTGCATCTTAAATGACGTCGGAATGCGTTTCGGAAATTCATTTTGAGTGCGTAAAAAGGTGAATTACCTGTCCGGCGACCGAGTAACATAGAATGAGAATGATTTTCAGAGGTAGTTTCGCTTTATACGACCGGTGGGCCCATAGCCTGTGTGCACCTGCAGTAACTCCAAAACCACCGATTCCGCCCATCAGAAAATCTGGAATTATTGAAAATTGGATCATTAGATTTTCTGCATAATTCGTTTAAATAATTAATGACTGGATAACTCTTTTTCATGAGACTATCATTCCGTTTATTTTATTCCACTCTACTTGGATAATATATTATACGTAAAATTCATGAAAATATTGATGCTAGTTTAGAGTAATGTTGTATTTAGTCAACAGTATCGAACAGTTGGACCTTTGTTTTTCACGGAGTAAAAAAAAAAAGATGGAAAAGTATTCATTCCTCAAGAATCTAATATTTCTCTGTGCTAGGGTCTTATGAAATTCATCGATTCAATTCATTATGAAATTTTTATCAAAAAAATTTGATGAGCTTTTCTTGAATGGATGAAACAGGCAACACCATAAAAGTCTTTTCTTTACATATGATCTCGTATATTATCGCAGAATTAATTTGGGTTCAATCGCGAATTTTTCGCTTGATTTTGGTCATCAAAATCCAATTAAAAATATGAAGCAATTTCAGACATTTTCTTGATTAATGTAGTTTTGACATCATATTGAAGCTTTTGTTACAAATTACGATTTTTTATAAAGAGAAGGAGAAGGAGTGAAAAAAGCCATATTTCCTTTTCGGTTGCAATTGAAAGATGCGCCTACTTTAAAAAAACACAAATTATCAGCATCATAATTTCATGTATTATGCAGGTCCCTCTGAAACACGTGCCTACCGCGTGTCAGATGTGAAAGGGTTGAAGTCGAAAACCAGACATTATGCAATTATTTAAATTTTAGAGGTTTAGAAAATTTTGAACAAAGAATCGTTTTGAAACTTATAATAGGCCATAATTGTCGGTAAGTGAGGATCACAATTAACATACTTCTTAATTGCCTGTTTCGTAAAATTGTCAGTTTTATCGCCTTAATACAATGTTTATAGCTGTCTCGCACTGATCCCCTTACGCAGACAAGAATATTATACTATATCATAAGCACGATACATCAATGCAGGATTTAAGAAGCCTAAGTAAAACATCCATAAGCCACGTGAGAAACTTTTTCGTCAAATCAATTATTTTTAAAAAATTAGAAATAACACCTATTTCTTAATCTCCATGTAAAAAAAAATATGTTTCGATGATATTTCATGGATATATTTCAGAAATTTTTAAGAGAACTACTAATTCTTCACGAAATTCTGCCTAAATATTGTCGAGGAAAATAAGGAGATGAAGAAAGCCAATGAATTAGCCAACAAGTTTTCCTCATTTTCCATTCCTTTAACAACCTATCTTTGAATGAAAACAATAACTTGATTGTACTTACTCCATGCCCATGTGAGTAGTTTGGCCTTCATGCAATGAAAAATAAATAAGTGAAGTCCGATAATGTGAAAGGCCGTGATGAAAAATACGTTACTCCAAATAATCGGCTGCTCTGTTTGAACCCAACCCATCCTGCAACACACCGAAAGAGGAATGAGCATAAAATTTTAAGTGGCTGCATGCACAAAAATGCGAGCGCGCTCGATCACAATGCAATGGAACATGAATGAGGTGACACCTCGTCGCAACGATCCTGGCTCGGGCCCGGGTCTCCACCAAGACTCATGATGGGGGCAACACAAAACGTCCTTTTTCGTACGAGAGAATGTAACTACATTTCATCGCTGCAATATGTCCTATCGCAAATTATACTTCTCCCGGAAAACTTCCGAATACATTTGATCAAAAATGTCACCAATTTTCCATCGGTTTACACACAAAAATTAGTGGACAAAAATCATTTGGACAGACACTGCGTAGTCATATTGTTCAAAAAAACTAAATTGTTTGAATTTTTGCAACTTCGGAATGGAATTACGCCCCCTTATCCAGCGAACTACAAAAATGGCGTATTAAATGTATTGGGACATCGCAAGTCCCGTGCTATTTTTATTAGTTTAAAAGAGACCAATCAGCACTATTTCGTAAAAAAAATGATAAGTTGATTTTAATAATGTTTTTAGAAGGAATTTGATGCAACCATGTTTTTTTTAAGTGGTTTTTCTCAGAAAAAAGTAGATGTGCCAAGAGAACAGTCCTTGTAGAATTCAAAATGCACCTATTGCAAAATATAGTAAATTTTTAAGCCAGGTTTGCCAGGTTACAAATTATTTCACGGCTATTTTAGGTGCTGGTGGCGAGGAGTAAAATACGCGTGTTTAATTGTGCAATACGGCAACCAGAATTACTGAAGATCACACCTTAGTGTGTGCGCTGGCTGCTGAAACCGTTTGACGTCGACTGAAATATTTCACAGCTGGCCACGCGTGATCATCGCCGTTCTCAAGGCTCTTGTCTTTTTTTCAAAATCACCAATTTTAGCCATGTTCTTTCTCATTTATTTTGCAACACATGATGACCCATCAAATTATTATAATTGCCAAAAAAATTCACCTCTGTTTTGTGAGGTGCTGATCAATCGAATGATTATTGTAACGTAGAGACAGATTTTGGATCACCTGCATTAAAAAAAAAAATTGAATGGTTCCATAGTCATAAGGTTTGTTGTCATGTCTGATCATTGGAGGTATATTCTCGTCACCCATACTAGGATCCCAAGAAATTTTGTCACAAAAACACGGCTCCAGTGCCTTGGAGGAAGATCCTCGTCCCCTTGGTGAGATCATCTTTGCACTGAGAAGCATCTTTGATCAAGGGACACCAATCTTTGTATGGATGGCGAAATTAGGGGCTCATGAAATAAAAAGTGCTAAAATCGTATTTCGACCCTGCCCCCTTGCATTTGTAACGCAGGTGTATGCCCTCCTTAAAATGAGCGTAAAACTCCTCCCAATCTCCTCCAAAAGTAGGGAAATTCGCCGATAAATCCTAGTGTTATCCTTTCTTTCTTTCCTCGTTGAAAAAATTGACAGTGGCAAAAATGAAGGAAGGGAATGAAGGCAAAATAAGCGGCCTGAGCATTTTCAATGAAAAAATTCAAAATAAAAAATGAGGACGACGAGACAAACGAGAAAATTGAGGAAGGAAGAAAAGAGGGCAAAAAAATAAAAAGAAATCCTCTTTTCAAAAATACAGAGCAAAGTGTCCCTCTCTGGACGCAGAGTCCAGGAAATTCATTCCTTTCTTACCCTCGCACAACCACATTTTAACTTCTGTGCGTCGTCAAAGATGATGGACGGACAGCACTCAAAAAAGCTTCGTGCCGGTTAGAACGTACGAACCTCTCCTCGGCACTTACACCCTCTACCCCTCGCCAATCCCCTCCAGCCGACACCTATGACAAACAGCGCATCCTGACGAATGGCAAACAAACGGGGTGTTTGCTTAAAAATCCAAGTGACATAATTCTCATTCCTGAGCCTGAGTCCTCTTCTGCGAGGCGCGAGACGTTCATGACGTAGCGCCGTTCGCTAGGTCGCGGGCATACTTAGCTGCTGGCGTTATTTGTTAACGTCGACCCCCTCCACCCCCCTCTTCGATTTCCATCGCTGGACCTTCCACACTTGGTGAATGAATGAGTTCTCTCGAAAATTCCAAACTTCAATGTTACTCACTCTGCAGGAAATTATGTGATCAGTTATGGAGTAATACACCTCTTCTCAAGGCCAAGAATTAAATATTGTCCTCTCATGGGACGGAAATACTTTTTAACTTTTTCTCATCGTCGTTCTCCAGACAAAGAAACGCAATTCCACTCTGAAATTGCAAAAATTCAATTTTTGACGAGAACATTACTGTTTGATTTCTGTCCAAAGTTGTTCTAGTTATTGCGTGTGCTTAGAGAAAAAATTAGTGGAATTTTCAGCCAAAAATTCCCAATTCTTTTCCGGTGAAATAGGGCGTTTTCAGTGCGAATATTTCTTAGCTTTGAAATGAAGTTAAATTCTTTCGTCTAAAATCGGCGTTATGTTTCACTTAAAGTTTGAATTTTCTTTGCATGAAAATATTCCGATTGATTACTGGATGATATCACCGAGCGAGAAAAATGCCATGTTCATTTTGAGAGGAGATTGAGGCCTAAAGGGCAAAATGCGATGGAAATGGAAAACTAATACGGTCATTATTTCTTCAAAATTTTGTATGAAAAACCACTCAAATGATACAATTATCAAGATTCAATTCTAAGGACAAAATTGTTAAAGTCTCGCTGCTCCACCACTAAAGGCTCCCCTTCACCGGGTAAATTTTAATTTGTGTTGCTACATTTTCTCGAGCGATCCATTCCCACGGATAATTTCCCGGGTCGATTTTTCGCAAATTCGCGTTCGAACGCAAAAGACATAAATAGATTTGTCGAAGTGTCGAAAATCCTTACGCAACAGTCCAAGACGGCAATTTGGGACCAAGTGTCGTGCCATGAGGATCGAAATAAGAACGGAGACACGAGACAAGTCGCCGTCATCGTCGCCGTAGCCGTAGCGTAAGACTTCAAATGAGACTTAACTACCGTAACCAATGCTCGGGTGGACCCACGCCTCAATGCTGCCGTTCTGTCGACAAAATCCATATTTATCGAGACCAGGGGTCGTATGAATGCCGCTCCTTAAACTTGTGCTTTATTTTGGATGCCTCGTATGATGAACATCATTCATAAGGGTGGTTTCAGGAGCAGTGCCGTGGCATGAATTGCGATTTATCGATTGTTATACCATTTAAACCCATGGGAAAGGATCGATAAACAGGGTGTTCGCTGCAAACACCTTAATAGTCGATTCTTTACCATAGGTTTAAATGGCATAAAAATCGATGTATCACAATTCACGCCACGTCACTGTTAAGGAGATTCTCAACATTGCACCATAGAAAGGACAGTTTTAACAAGACGAGTAGGTAAAAGTCTATGAGCTAGCTTTAGAAATAGAGCCTTGCAAGGGATTTCAATGGGTTGCCTTCACAAAACATTTAGAGAAAAAGAAAAAAGTTACAGGTTTTGAAAATTTTAAGGTAAGTTCCTTCTTAAAAGTGCGTCAACATCATAGAAATTTTTCTTCCATACTTTTCATTTCTTGCAGCAAAATATCATCGTCATCTCTTCCAAGTACCTATTTCTAAAGTTATTTTGTTGAGTGTAACTCGAGATTGATTAAAATTGTCATTTAAAATGACAATTAAATGGTAAAATGTTATATCAAGGACCTCCGTAACCACAATAACTACATCACAATAAACTATATTATGGAGTCTCCTTTAGTATAGGAGCAGCTGTTTAACTAGCAATTATGAATAAGGCCCTACATAGAAGATATCTTGCTGAATGGAACTTTAGGTAATTTTGCCAACTCAGTTGCAAATGCACTCAACTGCACAGTACTGTAAAATATCTTGGAGTGAGATACGGAGTGCATGTTGTTCCGTGGCCTTTTTTCTACTAAACAAACGGAGTGATAGCAATGCGGAGTGGAATTAACTCTTTTGTAGGAGTTAAATCCACTCTTAATAAGCGAATTTCACTATAATCACTCTAGCTTTTGGGGGGCAAAATATACTCAGAAGCGAAACTTATTCTAGATCGGAATGGAAATTTTGTAATAGTGTTGGTGCCAGTGGCACCAATCCATCTCCAATTAGAGTTGCAGCCATTTCTACATGGGATCCAATTTTCGAACTTTCTCTGTAGAGGTAATCTAAATTTTCCGATTGAAATTACGATCATTTTGATAATGAAAAAATAAGCCAACACCATCACCCGAAAAGTGGCAACAACACCCCCACTACTAAGCGCCACCACTTTCTTTGCTACGTGCAGCAGAGTAGCAGTTGTCACTTGAGGAAAATTAGCAGAAATTTCCCGCGCAGGATCGTGAGACTTCTGATTGGCGTTCGTTCATTTGGCAACAGGCGATTGGTGCACAGTTTCCCGCGGTCAACGCCCTGGACCAATGGTCACCAAATCGCCGCATTACGCGATTCGAGTGTTTACAAAATAATCGTATGTCTCGCCCATTCGTCTTTGTCTTTTTTCCGAGGATTTTCAGGCCATGGTCCGAGTTTTCCTCTGCTTATCAGAGCGGACAAAGAGCATTGTGGTATAACTCTATCGTAGAATCTCATCATGAGGTTAAGACAAATGAAGAGTGAAAATTCAAAATCCGGTAAGCGTGAAGCGCTATCAGATGTTAATCAGATTGTTCATGGTGTTCCTCGCTGTGAAGAACCAAAATGTCTTCGTTCCATGAACTTTATATCGGGAAACCGTCTCTGAATTTAGGGACAGCCCCAAAATTTTCTTAAATTGGGCATGTTGCGCACATGCAGGACAGAAGGAAAACGGAACGCCTTCATATTTTTGGATTTGCAAAATAAACAACCGCAGAGTAGGTATGGTTGTATTCAGGCGTTACTATACCCCGGCCACCTCGCCGCCTCGCCGCGCTTGCCGTCCTGCACCACTGTGTGACAATGTAGCAGAACTTTAAAGTATGTTTATTCTCCTGCTTTAAATGTCCGAATAC